ACCTCTTTTTTAGTTAACGAAAAATGCAGTCGTGAAATTACAGCAGTAACTTTGTCGCTCAGAGAATATTTATAGAGTCTCTTATGTTTGAACTTAAGCCGAATAGTCGCAGGGTTTGTATGCGAAGGCATCTGCCAAAGGGAACAAATCACCATATTTCAACTGGTTCAGCCAGACCTATTTCCAGTAGGATTCAGAGTAATTCGTGTAGTTAAACTTTACTATGTACTTCAAAATAATAAATTTTCATCATCAATTTGTGCTACAGTGTGTCTTATTTCATTCATATGCAACTTATGCACCAGAATAAGATTAAATTACCTTATATATCTCGTGTTTATATTTTCGTGTTTCAACCAGTCCGTGTTTGGTAATTTTCGTGTTTAGAAATTTCGTGTTTCGATTATTTCGTGAGTGAAAATTCCACATTTGAACCAAATGCAAATTGAAATTTTCAAATACGAAGTGGTCATAATTTTATCTTAAAAAGTGCGTGTTTAATCATCTCATTTTTCCCCAGAAGACAACAGCATAACATACTTAATAAGAACACAAGACAGAATGAGGAAGATTTTGGTTGCAGAACTTAAGATAAATGCATGGAAAGTACTGAGCATATTAATGTTATAAATAACAAGCGATGCTTGTCTTCTGGACCAAATGCTAAAGGGCCGAGAAGTACAATGGAATCACTTATCCTGGCTGTGTTGGGGAAAGAGAGAGAAAATGTACAATGTATCTTCACGTGAGTATAACATTATTTATAAACCTGTTCTGCATGTTATGCGAAAATAACTACAGCATCGCTCATGTGAGGCAAAACACAAACCCTTTCCGCCCACAAAACTTTCCATTTTCTCAGTTTTTTTCTTCACTCTTGCTCTTGGGCATAACTTTTTGACACCTCCAAGGCCGGAGGCGGAGTTGATGTTTTGAGTGTGAAAACAGGTACAAGTTTCCATAATAGACTTTGAGGGTTTTGTTGTTATGAACTTTGCCACATATATAGACATTTTGTTTACGGGTGAGGAAGGAGCTCATGATCTCTCACATTCCTTCACTGTGGCATCATCTTGGGAAATTCCCTGAGGGAAGTGTCTTACGCCAGAGGAAATTTACTTATAAGCTGATAAAACATGGTACAACACGCCGAAACTCTTTGCCGCCTGGAAATCACTCACTTGGAGATTCATCAATATTAAATTCTCTTTGGAGAATGCAGAATGAATTTTTGTTGTTCTCGCACTGAATTTGTAATCAATCAATTGTGCAATATTTTCAATTGATTGCTTCAATACACCCAGGCATTGTCATGTTTGATATATATTCAATAGTATACAGTCTGCCTGCAGGGGTTTTCAGTGCAAAAGTCTCTTTGAAATTTTCTCATAATACAAGCATACATGGATTAATTTCCATTTACCTACTCGCAATTTCCCATACAACTCACTCGGTTGTTACCAAAAAAACATGTTCAAAAAAGAGAAATTTTAAATCATTTTTTATCTCATGCCGTCATAGTGAAATGTATATTGAGAAGAGAAGAAAAGCAGAATTCCCATTTGTGTCATCATACAGAGAATAAAAATATTACACGCTGTGCTTTGATGTTCCAACATTGACTATAGATATTAAATACGCGTCATTTACTGGCTTGCCAAAATATTCAGGAATAGCTCTTGTATGATTGCTAAAGGTTCACAAATGGAATATTTTCATGCATCTCATTTCCACATTTTACTGCAAACGTACAGATAAATTTCCAGATACTCACTTAGTCACTGTTTAACCATATTTATGTGCCAAATCGATCAAATTGTTCTCCTCTAATCCCACATTAATTTCCTTTATGATGCTTTTGATATGCATTCACTCAATTTATCACTAAGCTTTAGTCGAATTATTGATTTTATCAAATATTGATTGTCTTGTTAATCTAAATTCTAATCAAAATTTTATTATAAATTTGTGGTGATATTTAGCTACAGTATTAAGAGTAATTTTCTTTGAAAATTTGATCCAATTCGAAAGAAATTTTAGAAGCAAGTCAAAAACTCCCTTGTTAATTATTAAACTATCACATCTCCATTTACTGTCACGTAAGGTCTTTTCACACACTTAACACGCTGACATTATACAGAGATATGTCCATGATATCAACAATTGGTGCATAATTGTGTTGTATCGAATATCTCCGTTCGATAGCAATAAGAAAATTCCATTTCCACCTTTAAGTACTCTTTTCCAACACAAATAGCCATTTTCATTCCAATTCAAAGATTTCTGACAGGAAAAAAGCATTGAAGGAAAAATGATTAAGGAAATACAAAGAAGTTTCCATGTTGCCAGCAAACAATTTGTAATTTAAGTGAGTTTTCTTCACAACACAAGCGATGAGACATGATACTTTTGGGAATGGGTGAAGTGACGTGAAAGAATGAATTGGGAGTTGTTGAGTGCGGAAGAATGAAAGAATGTGCGCTTGTTCTTGGAGTTGAACTGACTGGAAATTTATTCATTCCAACCATCCTTGTGAAAATTACAGCGAGGTAAGTTTTATTGCTATGCATTTCAAGATACAGACACACACACACACACACATAGTCAAATGCTGTACAATATCTTGAAATTGTACCCCAGCTTAATTGTGATACATTGTGAGCATTTGCAGACAAAAGTGCCATGGATGAATCTCAGTTTTCATTTCCTCGCCTTAGCATAAGCCAAGGTTTGCCTTCTTCTTCATGGCAATTTTTGACGATGCATCATTCTTATGGGGTTGAATAAAAAACGACAAGAAGATTTTTATTCCTACTTTCATCCACCCACTCTTCTATGTGTGTACATTTGAACAGTGAGGTTGCTTTTCCTCATTTCAGTGCCAAGAACTCTCAGACAGGATGAATGGGATGGAGGTACAAAAAGCTCTTTAATGGCTAAAACTGGCTGTGCATCATTTAAACGAATTTTCCCTCCTCATATCTCTGTTTCGCTCCGCCGTGAACTCACACCATTTTGGCAGAAAGTAACTTGGAAGATTCATCAGGTGGAGAGGAAAATATGAAAATTTTGTATTAAAGGCAGAGCGAGAGGGGAAAAGTTTGTGTGTGTGTGTGTGTGTCTGAAAGTCATAATAAGAAGAGGACGATAGACTAGAAAAAGAAAGGACATACATTTGTCTCCCTCTCAGCATCTTTAGGCAAAGTTTGCAAGCAATTGTGCGACTTAGTGCAAATTTCCCTCATTCTCCGGGTGAAATATACATTCCATTGAGGACTTAATTAAATTTTATGAACAGCGATTTATCCATTAAAACACACCAAGAGACTCTGAAACTTTATAATTTTCCATGGAAACTCTTCCCCTGTGGCAATGGTGAACTTTTAAGCATGGAATTTCCACAATCAATCCCCCACACTTTCCCATGGACAGCTCTTATGCACTGTTTATAGATAATTTGATTAAGTCGCCGATAAATTCTCATTTCACTGTGAATGCTGACATGAAGAGCTTCTGGGAAAATTCCAGTCATTTCAATCACTTCTCTTGACTTGCAGAATGTTTGATAAAGACGAAGCGATAGAAAGTTTTCTGTGGTCAAAAGCTGAGGGGAAAAAACACGGTGAATTAATTTGAACATTGGCTGATTTCAATAGATTAGTCATAGTGTATTGCAGCTAATTTCCCAAAGCAGTAATTAGAGTGTTCCATTCTGCACCTTCGTAAGTGCGAAGGCGTATCTGTGCTCATACGTTTACGGACTGGTGGGAGAGTATTAATTAAAAAAAGGGGATTGTCATGAGCACAGATTTAATTTGCATGGAAACCCCTCGAGGTGCAAATGCCATTTGTTCGGCTTCGAGCGGCAGACATGGCGAAAAGGGCATGTGTACACATCTCCAAAATCTCCAGAGAACATATTCATATTTCTTCCCATCCACTTTGCAAATTAGCCCTCTCGCATTTTGCGCCACCTCTGCCGGAAATTGCGTACCGCCTCCTTAATGTGCCACTGGGGCGCCGAGGGTGGCGCTGTTATGGGGTGATTTTTCCTCTATAATAAATGACCATAGCTGTGCCGGCGCGGAAGAGTCACCTCGCGATGTGGCGCACGATGTGAGTCAATTTCCACTGGCGAAAAAGGTATAACGAAGTGAATTATTTAAATTCAATATCTTCACCTCTCATGAATTTTTGGGCAACATTTTCCGTGGTGGGAGTGGATTTAATTAAAAGGAAAAAATTCAACCTCATCATCATCATTACAATTTGCGGGCAAAGGCCTGGTGAGAGTGCCCTTTTTGCCCTCAAGATTTTACTTTTGAGGGTGTGCGCCCCCGCGTAAGTCGAAAAACTTCGCAGGCAAAATGCACTTGAGCGCGCGGAGGCAAAAAGTTTACTTTAACTTTCAGCAAAAGTTTCCAATAATTTTGACCGGAATGCGGGGGATTTGCGCGTGGTGAAGTAAATCTTATATAGAGAGCACGAAGGAGGAAAAAAGCTTTATACAGGAAAATCCAATCCACGGAACTGTAAACTTCACTCACTGATGGTTGAGTGTAAATTTAAACATTTCGCCACGTTTATATCCGGAACGCTTCTAGACTTTTCGACTTTCCTACATAATTTATCACCGTGCAAAATCTTTCGCTTCAGCCCATGCTTAATGTGTGGTTGGCCAGAGAAGTAATATTACATTATATTGTATTCAATAATAATTGCAACTGAAATAAGCTTCAGATCCAGATTTCCAGTCAATCTGAACATATAAGAAGAAAATAGACGCTCTCAACACGCAAATATGGACTGAAGGTAGCTGTCAATCAGTTTGAAATCAATTACCTGATGATGTGAAATCGAATAACTTTCATTCTTGCAGCATCTGCGAAGACTGGATTCCTGTGATAAGCTTGCACGTGAAAGCTTGGAAATGAACGATTGCAAGTGAAGTAGAGATATTTACCATGAGTGAAAATGCAGCGAAACGAAAGTCTTTGTCGTTTTCTCAACATTCTCATCAGACACTTTATTCACAATTAGTCAATACATTGTTTCACAATTTTCTCGATTTTTTACTTTTACTTGTTCTAAAATAAATAACATAATATACACATACAAGTTTAAGTTATCATTAAGAAAGAAAAAGAATTTGCAGTGTATCCACTGAAGTCATCTGGTTGTAAGAAATTATACAATTTGATTTTAGTAAATTTGGCTTAAAGTGTATAGAAAGTCATGATTTCCATTAAATGTTACGATAATCCCTGTTGACATGTATTAATATTTTATTTCCATCTATACAGCAATATTGTTAGTGTGGTATTTCTTCTGGTTTCTTTAAATTCTATTACATAGATTTGATATTATGGTTATTTTACTATTTGGTTAATCTATTTTATTCCAATTAAAGGATTTCTCTGTTAAGAGTCGTTTGTGGTATTTGGCAAGGTTGCATTACAATTTTTCCTACATAAGATTATCTTATCTTTCTTTCCATTCATGTATTTTTTATTTATTTTTTGGTTAAACTGATAAAAACATTACAATCTGGTCAACATGTACAAATATTTCATCTTAATTTTCAAATATTTCTTCGGTATTTCTTCTTAAATATAGTGTGTATAGTCCACTAAAATGTTTTCTAGACAGATTTTCTTCACAATAATCCTGTTTTCATTAACGTCTTCCACAGTTTTCGTGCTAATTGAATTCCTTCTTAGATATTCACGGTGTGAAACATGCGATGGCAATCCTTTTGTCCACACATTTTGTATGATTAGTGAAACGCTTACAGATAAGGAAGAATGCTGCCAAGTAAAAGGATATTATCTTCTTTACACTCTTAGACTTCCTTTAAAGCTCCGTTTTTCTGCTTCTTGACTAGCGCATATATTGAGGCTGCCTTGTAGTTAATCGGTCCGTAGGAGCGGAAATCGACATCGGCATATTCTAAATCACCAGCTAGATCATCCGGTCCGAGTGGCTACAGAATGCCATTTTCCATTCAGGGGTGGGAACAATCGAAGGGAGAAAAGTAGAATTAGAACCATTTTATCAATCATCCAACCATAATCCCACCAAACGGATTTATGTCCCACATTTCTTCCCTTTCAAAATTCAACGGCTGCTTCCAACATGCAGTTAGGCCGTAATTAGAAAATCACTCATCCTTTCACTGTCCATCAGCAGTGTTAAAACACTTTCGTCGTGAGTTAAAGACATGACATTAGGTTCATGATTAGAAATAAAATCTACATTCATTTAAACGATTAATCTTGCGTTATTGTATTACCTTTCCATTGAAAATTATTTGACTTTTTTTTATACATTTCATCTCATCAATAAATATACGTATCACTTCCTTTGATACCGTCTTCTTCCATCTGTGCCACGGGAGAGATGAGAAAGAGAGAGAGAAAGGAGGGTTGAAACAGTACATTAAATGTAGATTTTATTTAGAACATAGGGTTGTTTTCGAGGAAGAGAAAGAGAGAGAGTGAGTGCATCAGGCCAATCTTTGCCCATAAATCATCCGGCAAATTGGTCAAAATTATTATTTTTAATTAAATTGTGGATAAATTGATTCAAATCAATAAATACCCGTTCCATTGTTTTTACGTTGTTGATGGATTTACGGGAAAATATGTAAATATCAATCCAATAAATTTGACTGAATGGTCAAATGAACACAGATTTGGAAAATAAACATTGCAATAGATGAAAGTTTAATGAAGTAAAAACGTCAAGAGGGTTTCAAATCTTATCTTTAACCCTCTATCTTCATTTCTCTTGACCATTTTCATGTCAGACACGGTTAAGAAAATAAATTTACATTTTTCATCCTGTCCAGAATAGAACTTGTGTCCCTCAAATTTCTAAACCGATGCTTTACTTTTTATCAAACATTGAAAAGATTTCAACTTTGAGAGAAGCTTTTCTAGATTTTATGCTTATTTCTGTTCAGCCCCGGTTCGATCCTGGGAAAGGCTCTATATTTCGCTAAAGAGTGAGGCTTCTTAGCCTCTATCTGCTGACTGAAAATTAAACAACTCTGCTTCCTAATAATCCACAATGATGTAAAGGTGAAATTTTGCAGTGAAGCGAATTGATATTCGCGCAAATTTATTAATTAAATCAAGTAATTAAATACCACGGGCGGTTTTCGTGACTCACCCTTGGCCAGGAGGTGGGGCTCTTGACCCCTGACACACACACACTCTCCCTATGGCAAACGTGTGAACAGTGGCGGAATGGCGTGATGTGTCATGAGTAGTGATCACTTAAATTACTGGACTGTGGCAGCCTAAATATTGACTTCATTGAACTTGAGCGTGGCGTATTGAGTTCTCTTCACGCCCACTGAGCCTTTTTCCGGCAGATTGCTCAGCCTTATGCTCTCCTCACTGTCACCATTTGTGGCACTTTCGCTGCTCGTGGCGCTGCTGCTGCCATTCTTGCCGTACTTGCTGGCCATTGGCGCCAGATCGGCGTAGTGCAGTCTCTTCTTCACGTCCCCATTGCACATGGAGTGCGGCGCCTCGTGCACCTCCACATTGGACACATGCCTCTTCAGGCTCGTGCCGCATATTCGCGGCGGCGTGCCTGGACTCTTGGGAACGGGCGTGATGGGCTTGAATGCATTCTTGTCTGTCAGCGGCTTGAACACAAGCGGACCACCTTGCTTGTACGCTTCGCGGCTCTTTGGCGGCTCCGTGGACTGAAAGTGGAAGCTGTGGTGCTTTCGTAGGGGCAACTTCACCATTCGGCGACTCGATGATTTCCTCCCTGAGCTGGGAAACAACTCCTTGGGCGCCAGGATTTGGCGACGATGGTTCACAACGAAGGGATTTGTCTGTGCGGATCGCTGTAAGGAGAAAAGCACCGCCTAAAGCCGCTGTCTAATCCCTGTCGAACTACACAAAGCCCTCCCATTAAGCAATGTAATCTCCAAATCAATCCTAATGTAAGTGTTCTAGAGGCACTTTTAGATTCCCCTCTCGAACATTGCGATATCTGACCTCTTTGACTAATGAACATGTGCACATACGGAATATTACGAAAGTTGACTAAGTTCAGTGCAGACGGACAATTTTTTTCCTCATATTCCGTTTCCTATCAATGCGGACAATTAGAGTGGCAGGAGCAAAAGGAGCACGCGAGAGTGGAACAAAAGTGCGGGCAGGATAATTAATGGCATCGTCCTCTAACGAGCTTCGTCATTCTCACGCCACGAATGGCGGCAACAACAATCGAATTTGTGAGTAATTAATCATATTAACGCGCCCCGTTGCCACTTAAACGGTTTTAAAGGGCGCCAAAGAGGATCAGGAAGTCCTCATAATTCCGCACGAAACTTACCTCCTGAACTATGTCCTCTCTTATCCCTTTTTACCGCACAGAATTTATGGTCACTAGAATGCCTCTTGAGGCGAAACCCTCACCTTTGTTCTCCGGCTGTTTCCCACCCTCTGTCGCAACCCGCAGAATCTCACCCTGAGTGTCCCCCCAAAAGCCCCAATGATGGTTAATTTATTCCTGTGAAAAATCCACCCCCACAAGCTCAAATGGTCCAATTTGGCTTGGGGGCGCTTGTGGAATGGAGAGCCCTCCAAAATTAAAGATTAATCCCTCACAAGTGAGGGGACTGGCATAATTTGGCGCAACAAGTGTCCCTATCAATGGGGAAATCTCACAAATAAGCTTTCGAGTGACGCAAAAGTGCTCCTCCACCCCAAAAGAAAATCATCGTCCGCTGCTCACCATTGAGTACACCATGTGAAAGGTGTAATTGAAATATCATGCATCCGTGAAAGCTCAAAGCTCACAGAGAGCAAAATGAAAGGGCTACGATTTCCCCACACATAACACTTAGCCACGCTAGAGTGCAACTTAACTGGGACCCGTTTAGAAAACTGGGAGGACTTTCGCTAAAATGATTAACTATGTGTGTGTGTGATGCATTTGAGAGTACTGAAAGATAAAGAGGAATTTAGAGACCAAAAAATTCCCTCTTCACTGAAAACGTCAAGGATCATCTCTTAATGCGCTTTTATGGCGCTATGCACACTTCTAAATTCACATTGTGAGACAATGACTCACATGCATGACGAAGATAGAGCGCACATCAGGGAAAACATTGAGAGAGATGTGGAGAAAGACATGTGCTTGTGAAGGGCAAGATGAATTGTGGAATTGTCTCAGTGGAGCATATTCAAATTGCAGGATAATTGATGGAATCCTCAAGTACAATATTGACGAGGGAGTGAGTACGACTGAATAAGATATCAAAACATACAGGTATTATAGACAATTGGGGGTTCAAATAGGCTTCCATGTCATAAACAAACGTATTAATAACGAAATGACATGTGAATTCCAGTGAGTCTTCCCACAGTTCAGTTGATCATTGACAGAAACGATTGTTCCTATTGTATTTGACAAGCTGAAATTGGCATAGAAGCATTGAGAAATAGTCAATAATTAAGTTGAAAAAATATAGCCCTCATTTGAACCGTACAAAACACCTTTTTAAGTGGAGTTAAATTACCGCTCTAGATTGTCATTTTTCCCCAATATTTTGTGCACATGTTCAAATGCCAACTGAAATGATGATTGGAGAACATCCAGGAAAACTCAGAGATCGTGCATTGTACCCACCTCGTAGTTGGCGAATGCAGTGGCCGGATGAATGTTCCTCGACGCGTGCTGACTGCTCATTGACGGTAGATTCATGTAGATGGGTGCACTCTGGCAGGTTCTCTGGCCAGTCCTGGGCGCCGGCACGGGCGTGATGCACTCGTACGAACTGTTGGAGATGCCCGAGTCGCTGCGATAGATGCTGTTGCGCTCGCCCTCGCACTTCACCACGTAATCGTCGTTCATGAGGACGGAGGCGAAGGAGCTCTCGTTCTGCAGCGGCGACTCGTGAATCTGGATGGAGTCCGTGAGGTTCTCGTACAACGGCTGCTGCTCGTACTTCTCGCGGTGGACGTTGTTGTACGCCGGTGGGATCTTGGACGTGTCGCCGCCGAAGGAGTTGTGCCTCTTGCAGGCCTTGTTTACGCGCATCGAGTAGAACTGCGGTGACTTGCGAATGCCGAGGGACTTGAGGGAGCCGAACTTCTTCTCGGCGCGCCGCTGCTGTTCCACGTGTCCCTGGCAATCGTCCCGCTTCACCAGGAAGGGATTGAGCGACGCCGAGGGCGCCATTGTGGGATACGTGGGATAATTGAGGGTGTTGACGGTGAAATTGTGGGGATAGCCGGAATTTCCGGGGTACATGTTGCTGGTGAATGTGGGATAAGTCGTCGAGTGTAAGCAGCTATTGAGGGCGGAGGGGTTTTTTGGCCGTGGCGCCACGCGAACAACATTACTAGTCAAGTGGGTGGTAGTACTGTTAGCGTTATGGTGGGTGGACTGCAACATCACACAGAGAAAAGAAAAACACAAACATATTCATGTATGGTTATTGGCAAATGTTAGGCAATTATACACATTATCGCTCTTCTGTCGTTATGATAAATAAATATCTGGAGAGAATTTAATTGGAAAAAGTAAATTGAAATAGAAACATATTCCAAAAATGTATTTGAAACATAGCAGAATAGAAGAATATTAATGAAATGAATAGCTTTGTATGTTATTTCGTTAGTGAATTGCCATTGAAATAGCAAGAAAATCTAGCAGAATATTTCCGGATCAATGGTTTTAAGCAAATTCTCCATAGGTCTTAAATTGCCTAATCTTCCAAACTCTCAATATACTTCAATATATATATATATATTTTTTTTTTTTTTGGCAAATTTCGCTTTACAATTTCCAGTATTTTTCGTATCTTTTAGCTATATATGTTATTAGAATGGTGGTGAAAAATTCCCAATTAAAATTTCAGGCATGCAAGTGGTTTTTTTGCCGACACTTTTTCGAAATGTTCTGCATTGAAATTAGTTGCAATTTGGCCGACATGCAGGGAGGGCTTTAAAAAAGGCGAGGACTCATTACACTGCCGAGACTTTCTGTTCCCAATTAGATGCCATTAAAGCGAGTGGCGGCATGAAAGATTCAGGAGTGATGATGCATTCTGCAGGTCTGGGAATGCAGATATTCTACGCGCGTGGGCGTGAATAATTCACAGGATTTACAGTGGGTTGAATGTCTGTTTGAGTTCCATCAGCGCCACAAGTCCAGTAATTCACAGCGATACCAAATTATCCAATGAATCATTAGCAACTTTCATTTCTCATTTCATTATTCAGCTGTTGAATTTTCAGTGCTTCCGTCAACATCTCTTAAATTCACATTTGCTTGTGTGAGTGACAGTGAACGTATTGATTGCTCATTCTCTTTACAATAAACAATATGACAAAGGTGTGTAAATTGGATGGAAAATGAGAATAATATATGTGTGGTAAATGATAAAAGAGAATTAAACTCTCAAAATTAAACACTTTGATTTTCCACAAAATACCCCAGTAATTAAACATAAAAACATTCGCATATTTTGCTTTTCCACAATCAAAACAGATAAAGGATTTGTCTCGTCGGACAAGTGAAACACTTAAAAAGCATTTTGTGGACAAACAAAGTGGGATAAATTAAAACCCACAGAAAAGACGGAAGAAATCTCTGTTTCATCTCGCGTCAACTCACCTTATTCGGAGCACTCTGCAAACCGTGGAAGGGAAGGTTCTCATACTCGCCTGGTTCGGTGGCGGTTAGCGGATCTCCTGCGGCCGAAGACTTGTCTTGATCTGCAAGATAAGAAGAGTGGAGAATATAGGGAGAATGTCCAATGCTGAGTGGTTCGCAATTTGTATTCAGTGACTCTTGAAAATCCCCTCCAGACAGGCGAGCGCAAACGAGGACGCAAAAAAAGGAAAAAAAGGAAAAAACACACACTTTCGAGCAAAGAAAGCACATACAAAAGAAAAATCAATTGGTAAAAAGTATGCTAATGGCCAAGCAGAAAAAATCTGTGCTGAGATGTTGTGTGGCAGAAAAAATACATACCGGAAACACTACCTTTCATCCCCTTCCTGGAGTCTGTGGGTGAGTCGCCGCCTTCTGTGGCTTCTCGCCTTTCCGTCTGGTTCACACCCTGCGGAGCTTTTCTGTACGTTACAACTAAACAAGCATTCAACGGTGGGGTGTTGGTGGGGAAGAACAAAAAGAGACGCTCTTTAGCACAGAAATACGGGGAAAAACATCAACATGAGCAAATGAGGGAAAAAGTGCATATGAAATAATGATTGTGAGTCACAGTGCAGCGCATTCCGCATGTCAAAAGCTCTCCCGCGGTTAGATTTGCGGTGGCATGTATGTGAGAGCTTTCACATCCACTTTGCTTCAGTGCTACATAAGAGAAAAGAATGCCGTGACCTCCGGAAGACATAGGAACACAATCAGATGCGCCCAAGAGCTTCTCATTATTATATATGTACTTTGCCAGGAATGAGAATGTCGAGAAAATAACACATTTCTCTCTACTTAATATTTAACCATTGAAAAGAGGTTTTTTTTACCAGAAATTTACTGTAGAAGAACTGGAATATTTTCTCGAAAGAAGTGCCATTGATATCGCTTCAAAGACAAAGATTGAATTTTGGGGAAAGATATTTTGAAACATTGTCGAACATCTTGAAATAAATTCAATTTATTTATTCCAATGTATTCCATTTATTAGGAAAAAATTGTGTTCTTTTCCGACCGAAGAATGTCTTCCTTTCATTTCATTGATTTCTTGTGTAGAAAATAACTGTATAATTTAGAAATTGAATGTTTTGATTTCAGTAAATTTTTCGTAAAGAATTTATAAGAAGACATTTCTCTGGCAAATTTAAGAAATTTAATTAAAAGATTGCAGACTGAGAATGTTTCTGCAGTTTTCAGGTTTTAACCTTTCTAAGCTAGAGCAACCCGTGAAGACCTACAACTGTGTTTTATGTCTTCCGCGATCATTGCGGGCTTTCATACCACCATCTGTGTATTTGATTCCGCTCGGTCGATGGCGAGAGTCGAACAGGCCCAAGCTAGAGGCTGTGGATTTGCCGCTGCCGAACCACCCGGTGGCTCTCAAGAGGTTGGCCGCCTTCTTCTGCACCCCACCCTGACCTTGGCAGCTCTGGGACAGGATGGGAGGACTCCGTCGAGCGCCTCGACGCTCTCTGCGCCAGCGCAATCGCCTCAGCAGACGCTCAATCAGTCCTGAGTTCGTGAAATTGATCAACTCATCGTTGCCCTCTTCTTGCGCCTCATCATCCGCCTTGGCGTCGTCCTCCTTGGCTCTGGGCGTCGAACTCTTCAGAGGCAGTTCGGGAGTCTTCGACGGAGTGCCTGGAGACACTTCCGGACGTCCTGTTGACGGCGTTTGCGAGCGCGACGCCGCGAGACTCTGCTTCGTGTCGCCCTTCACGTGCACCATCACACCCGGCCTGAGAGGCCACTTTGGCGGACTTCTGGGCACCTCAGGAACACTTTGAGCAGTCTCCTCGTCCTGTCCACTCTCCCGCGCCTCACTCACGGGCGACGAAGGAGCCGTGAGTACGCTGTTGGCATTTTGAGTAGCAAACACACACACACAAAACGACATCATGCAACAGCAAAGATGAAATAAAAAAAAAAACGCATAGAGCAGTATTAAAAGATGATGAATAAAAATGAAGATGATGAAATGTAAAATGAGGATAATGGATTTACCTGTGTGCTGCATTATTCGACAAATTCCTGTTATCTGATGATTTGATTGGAGATAAAAAAAGCGAGACAAACAGAAAATATGCGTTAGTATCAACAAAAACAAGATGTTTGAGAGAAAAAATTGTTAGATGATGGTGAAGTTCAAACAAAACTCTGTCGGTGTGCACTCTTTGCGGGAAAGCTTCTCACCTGATGGTTAGTTTTCGAGCTTTCTCTGCACGAAGTGCTTCACCACATAGCAATGGATATAAATTAGCACAAAACGGAGATGAAAGTGTGTTTCTTTCACTGTTTCATGATCTAGATAGTGCTCCATTAGAACATTTTACTATATTATTTGCCCATTTATCAAGAAAACATGTTGCTGTTTGTGTTAAACGTCTCTGAAATTCCATTAAAATTTCCATAAATTTTCATACGTTGCCATCATTTATGCTCCAATGAGATTTGTATAATTACTTTTCATCAACGTATGAGAAAATGTTATTAATGGCATTTGCCACACTTCAAAAGCGCTTTTTCTATTGTAATGCCAAATTAAACAAAATCAAGCACACGATTTTCATCTCAATTTCACATTTTAAATTAGTAGCTGTATTTAACTTTTTAATTATAATAAATGTAACAGGAAAAGTAACAACATTAATAGTTAATATTGATTCTGTCAAATTTGAAGAAAAAAATTTAAATTAAATTTCCTCTGATTAATTTACGCGTTCCATCAATTGACCTTTCATCTCCATTTGCGTATTAATTTTGCTAACAATTAATTTAATAATTTTGCAAATATTCTTTTCTTGCCCAATTATTGCAATAAAACTGTGAAAATACACAATACACAAATTGGATGGGGTTAAAATAAATATAAATAACAATTGTCAACTCTTTCGCTGAATGTCACACTTTTATGAAAATTAATTATTTTATGCGTTCCAAATTGTAATTCGCCATAGTATAACATTTATACATACGGTTTGGGAAATGTGGAGTATGAAAAATTAATAATAAATGTAGCAAAAGATTCACTTTTGGAAAATCAATTTGAATTAAAATGATAATGTATTGAGGATTTTATACTCAAATTAATTAGCAGTAATTCAGCAATGAATGCCATTCATTATCAATTTTCAGCACAATATATTGATTTAATGGACTTTGGGGGTGGAATTGAACTATCGATTGGGGTACATATGTGAGAACATACGGACAAAGGAAATGATTGCAATCATGCCTCACATCATTATTAAATCAATCTATTAGTGCAAATAGACAAATACAAATTCAACATTTCAACGCAGAAAAATCACAAAATTTACATCCAACCCAGTGCTTAAGGGCGGATCTCTTCGTCCAATTATTTCCGCTGTGGTATATTTGGATTTCGGTTATTGCATTACATTGGCTTTTCCTCTGTTTATTGTGCATGCTTTAAAAAAAAAGACAGGAGGAGAAAGAGAGAAAATATTGTATGCTAATACTTTCAATGTATCACAAAGAAAAATTCTATCAGGGATTTTGGGGACAAATATAGGTATACACAAAAGTATAGAATTAACGACAGAATATGACAAAAAAAATCCGTCTATCACGTCTCAAAACCATTCATTTTTGCACCAATTGTGCAACAATTCAACAAATTGTGGGGACATCGAAATCCAATATATGTAGCAAAATACGGGGAAAAGGTGAATGGCAGTAATTTAGAAGAGCGAAACATAGAGAAAAAGAAGTTATTCAACATTTCCATGGACACAAAAAGAGTGGATATAGCGTGAAAAGAACTAAATCAAAAAATCTTCAGGGGATTTTTCTCATTTGTACGTAATTTCGGATTTTGGGGATTGAATTCGATGCACTTACATTTATCCCGGCGCCTCCTCTTGCGGCAAACGCAGATAATGACGATGCACACAATGATTACAGCCAGCAGCAATGCGAATACGGCCGCAATTAGGATGATTAAAGTCATTCGATCCCATCGCTGCCACCATCCTATATGCCCTAGAGGCGCCACGGCGCAAGAGAGGAAATATCATTAGTTCCACTGGATTTTCCACTATGAAATTTACAATTTCCAGTGAAGAGGAAATAAGCTTTATCTCTATAGAGCTTAAGTGTAACTATGAGCTCATTCGAAAGAAGATTAAAAATGACACTTTTTTCGCTTTTTTTTTCACTGGAAAATTGTAATAAAGCGATAGATGCCTGTTGAAGTGAGAAAGAAAAATGATATCTTACGTTTGTCCTTCAGTTCTCAATATTGTGCATCGCGATATATTGCGAGCAGCATGAAAAGGTACAAGTATATGATTGTAGCATTCGTCCAAGGGCCGCGAAACAAGATCTATCGATGACACAAGGCTTAACACTTACCAGCCACATCCACCTCACACACGCTGCCCATGCCGACAGAGTTGTTGGCCATGCACCGATAAGTCCTGGTCTCTGTCACGCCATCCTCGAGGATCAGGTAGCTCATGATGCCATCCTGTCGCACGTTGTACTCTTCGATTGTGTCGTTTTCCGTTCGCAGCGACCAGTGGAAGTCCACGGGCTCCGGATTGCCGTACGCCGTGCACACGAGTGTGTCCTCATCCTCAACCTCTCGGCGCACAATTGAGCAGTTGGGCCTGAAGAGGACATTCATCGAGGCCTCGGCGCTGTGATTCCCGTGCCGGTTGAAGGAGATGCAAGTGTAGAGACCCGAATCGGATCTGTGCATTCCTCTGTTCACTATCAAAGCATTTCCCTTGGCGATCACCTGTCCTTGTCGTCGCCACTCGTACGTTGGTTCTACGGGGAATTCATCACGTCAAGGGAGCATGTCAAACCGACCGGAATGCACCAAGGAGAAATTATAATCGAAAGTAGTGTACAACTCAGAGGAAGAGTTTCACTACTTGACTTTATAGTGGTTTTCCAGGCTGTTATATCTACTTAGAACAGAATCATTTGCGGAATGCGACATTTTTGGAATACATTGAATAGAATGGGATAGCCAAAAAAGGATTAAAAACTCCTATAATTGATGTACATAATTCAGGCATATGAACAGCCCCTTGAAAATGTCAATTATCCTTCTTTGTTCTTGTATCTTAATTCCATGATATTCTCTTTACTCGCCCAAAAAGCACAAATATAAAACGAAGAACATGTTCACCAATTTAGAGGATAATCACCAGATTATTATCGGAGCGAACTAAAAAAGCTCAAAGGAAAAGGAGCTTTTCTTTTCATTTCAGTGGGGGAAGATTGTATATTGCCAGTCGTCTGCCTTAAATGACATAATCTCTGAGTGTATGTGAGGAAATTGGTCAAACGAGAGCTGAGGCAATTGGCATCTTGAGCTCAAATTTCCCTGGGGACGCAGCAAATATCTCCAACTCACCTGGATATGCCTTGGCGGAGCAGAGAATCCTCTGGGGCTGATGTCCCTCCTCCACTGTGATCTCCACATTGGACACCGTGGTGTTTTCTGGCGGATACTCAACGCCGAAGTACGTGGCACTCCGCACGCCACCCCCAACGGAGTTGTTGGACGAGGCGCAAGAGTAATTTGCGCTGTCCCGGAAGATGTCCAATTTCTCATCCGGCCATGCGGACATGTTGAAGTGCTGCAGGATTTCAACGGTTCATGAGTGGCAATTTTATTGCACAAAATATCGCTTTGCAATTGTTTTGCTATCTCCTCTAATAATTCAGAGTACATTTCATTATGTTATCATTAATATCCAAAACCAGTGTTTAATATGGTGGATGAATAAACAATTTGATGACGTTTTATTTGGCGCACACTATTTTCATGGCACCATATGTAGTGGAAGTCACGATGGGTCAGCATAAATAAGCTAAATTGACTTTTATGAGCAAATTACTCAAATATTTGCACTGTTGATTACATATATGGAACTCAATAGAAGAGCTCCAGTCAAAGCATTGTCCGGAAATATTGCAAAATACCAACAGTGCTTTTAGTGATGTGGGAAAAATGTCATGTTTACTACATTAAAATGTCCAATGAAAATGGCTTTCTGGCAGCTGCAAACATTTGAGGTTTGTTTCACTTTATTCCACCCAAAACAAGAGAGCAACTGCAGAAGCAGGACTCTGTCTAATGAACATGAACGTCCTCAGGCTGCAAAGTTCAACACAGGGAATTCATAACACGTTGGAAACACAGGTTTAATTTACTCTTTTGAATTTTATAAGCACTCATAAATACAAAAATATGAACTTGTGGTTGAAATGTAATTTTGCCGTATATGATTTCAATGGTGAAATGTTCATTTTAGTATTCAAAATGTAATACAAATGATAGGAAAGGCTTTGAAGCAGAAATTCTCTGATTCCTCACAACACATGCACAATTTTGTACCAATACAAGAAAAACCTTAAAGGCAAAAAAACCAGTTCCAAACCAAATGTACAAAAGTACTATATTTGATTGAAGTGCGCATAAATATTTATTTCCCAAAAATCAACCAAGATAGAGGAATTGATTTTTTTCTTTTTAGACTACTAAAGATCTCTAAATATACTGTACGTTTGTTTTTTTTATATTATTGAAATCTTTTAGGTAAATTAATTCCCAAAATTCCATTCTAAGAGCTTACAATATCTTAATTTGCACCCGACGGCATTAGAGAAATCACAAAGCGGACTCACCAAGATGGAGAGAGTGCTCTCGAAGTCCCCAGTCGACGGATCCGGTGGCAGATAGGAGTCCCTCACGTAATACTGCTCTCGGTACTCCTCGATTCCCATGCCGTCCTTGAACCAGGAGATGTTGCAGCGCGGAATGCACTCCACGCGACACGACAGCGAGATGCCGGGCGTGGAGAACAGGGCCCCGGTGTAGGGCGGCAGCTTCTGGATGAACGCCGGCGCCGCATAAACGTCCAGTTGGACAGTGGCGGGATTGCCCTCACCGCCCTCGTTGTACGCGAAGCAAGAGAAGTTCGTCCTGGAGTCCAGACCCACGGGATCCACCGTCCACATGGGCGTCACGACGTCCATCACAGATTTGTCGCCCCGCAGCCAGCGATAGCGCGTGGCGTTTGGATTGCCGCCGTCTTCCACGCTGCAGGATAGCGTGACGCTCTTCCGCTTAATCGGTATATGCGGACGATGAAAGATGCTGGCATTTCCAGGCTCGTAGTACACCACGAGCTCCTTGTCGGCACACATGGGGCCCCAGCCGGCGGCATTGAAGCCCTCGCACGAGTAGTTGCCCAGGAAGTCTCTGCCCACATTCTGCAGCAGCATTTTGCTGGGATCGATGCCGCAGAGATCCTCATCGTCGCCCGACTCATTGCCCACGCACTCCGGGAGCTCCTTGAGCAGCTGCCCGTCGAGGAACCAGCGCACCTTCAGCAGCTGAGCCGGATTTCCTTGCACCACGTTGCAGTACAGCGTCACGTTGGACGCGTTGTTCTCAATGATTGGCGACGCGGGATCCATGGCCAAATCCACCGTGGGCACATCTGTTGAGACACACAATGGCTCACTCTCAATGCACAGCTCCCAGCGATAAATCTCCTTTCACACACCCCTTGCATAATCAATAACGCAGCCGTGCGAGTGGCACCAAAAGTGGGATTTGGAGAGAACATGGGATGAAATTGGGTCGGAATAAGCGATATATTTTCACCTGATTTCGACAGAAGCATCATCATATTTCCATGCGCAACAAAAGCTGTACGAAAACTTACTCGTGTCCTCAAAATGATAAGCATGCGTTGTCACTTTTATAGATTGCTGGACACAACGTTAATATACGTTTTCCTTTTGTTATGGCCAAGTTATGGTAATTTATTGAGAATTGAAGGAGAATCTGTAAATATTCTCAGTACAGATGATCTCTTCTGATTCAAATTTGCAAGAGCTTCTCATTTCAAAGAATGGGACATGAACCAATTGCCAAAAAGGGAATGCATTTCTGCTTTCGGAAGCTTTTCGAATCATAAAGCCATATAGAAATATGATTGGAATGCATTGAGTGATTTTTCAGATTTGCCAATGCTCTGGAAGCCGAATTGCTTTTAAATTTGAAGCAAATTTACTCGCAATCCTTAAAGTGTAATCGAGTTCCCCAGCTTGACATTTCATAGTGTGACAAAGTAACTGCCCTGAAAATTGTTAATGCACACAGGCAATAGATTTAAAAGTAGAACAATAGATCATAGATAAGAAGCGGCTTTTGTATCTCCTGAAATCTGCACGCTTTATGCATAAATGTCAAGCGCAATAGCGCCGCGCCAGCGAATTTCATAAATCTACAGGGGATACAGTTCAGGGGGTTCAGGGGTTGTAACAATGGCACTCAAATAGTCAATTGAGGGATAATGGAAGGCGACAATCTGCAGCATCGCTGAAGATAAGCGCATTGCACAGACTTACATTGTATATCCACGAAGACAGCATTGTCGGACGTGTCATTGCCAATGGCATTAGAGAGTTCGCACGTGTAGATGCCGATGTCGGTGCGGGAGGCGTTCTTCACCAGAAGAGCCGTCTGCTCTGGATTTCCACCCTCGAAGCGCCCTGACCGCCCGATCTGAATCAAACTGCCGTTCTGCTTCCATCGAACACTCTCCAGACTCGCGGGATTAGCCTCGTACTCGCAGAAGAGCAGAAAGTCCTCAGTCTCATTAATCGTGATATTGTCTGGCTTCACCGTGACCACTGGCGGATCTGCAGGAAAAAGTGTGCGGGGAAAGAGAAGAGTTTGTGTGTACTTCTGCAGCAGGAATTTGAAGTGAGGGAAACTTACACATAACTTCGAGGACAAGTGTCTCATGAATGGGCTTCTCCAGATCATCCCTCATCACGATGTTGTCACCCTCACATCGGATTGCCACCCCGTTCTCATAGCGTGTCGCTGTGAAAATCAACTGGCTGACTGTCTCGAAAGTGCCATCGTTCTGCAAATACTACAAGAGACAAAGAGGCGTGCTTGTGTGAAAATTTCCGGAATTTCAATTAAAATCCACCCCCGCAGACGAAATTCTCATTAGGCGAAGCTCTGGCGGGAGAATTTATCGCTCTGCGCGGGCGGAGGAGGCCAAACCATTACCGTTTTCGTGCTGATGGTACTCAGTGGCTCGTGGTCGGGATTGAGGGCTCGTGTTGAGTTGTACCACGTCACATTGGCGGCTGGTCGAGCGCCGAATACCTGCCGGAAAGACGTGAAATATATACTCAGCGCAAAAGGTAAAATCCACTCCGCAACTCACCTGACACTGCAGCAGCACCTTTGTGCCCTGAACAGTGTGATGTTTCACACCCGTCAGGCTGATTTTTGTCGGACGAACTGTAAGAAAGCGTCCATAAATCCTCGCCATTCATCTCATTAATTACAGAATAAAATTGTATGAAGCTTTCCCAACGCACACACTTTGCTATATTGTGAAGTTTTCATAAACTTTTCAGCCAGAACTTTCATCTACAAGTTTCACTGCACAATGAGATAAGTGATTTCGTTGGTTTTGGGTGAATATTTGAAATAAAAGCTTCTCAAGTATTTTTAGTGTTTTCTTAACTCTCTCCAATTTCTTGCCAAAGAACTCTCAACGCTATACTTTCCTAATATGAACCTCAAGTAAGTAAGTGGAATGTTTCATAGAGAAGACAATTACGTGACCCTTTCCTCTCTTTCATCTCGAGAGTGGAATTGAAATTTCCCATCTTGTCCATAAATCATGGCCATTCACGACTTCAGACTTGTCTTGAGAATCTTGCGATGCACTGACGTTGGCCTATATTTAGCCCATAACGACCGACCCAGTTCTATCCTGTGCACTCACCTTGTAGATCTAGCACCAACTGATTGCTGACGACGTGCTCGAGAGCTGGTGTCTCCACGCGGCATTCGATGGTCGATGCCAATTCCAGACGAGACAGCACGAGTGACAGAGTGGACTTCACCAGGAACAAGTCGTTGGACTCATCGATAGTCACAGTGTCTGCAGGAGAGACGAGTTATTATCCACTTGTGTGCGGCATTTGGGGCCAAGCGGAGTAACGAACCTGTGAGCCTCTTGCCCGAGCGATACCATCCAACGAGTGGAGCTGGGCGAGCGCCTCGCACTTCACAAGTGCCTCCCAAGGTGTGTCCCTCGCGCAGAGGTCCCAACGTTGTGGAATTCTTCAGCTGCTTGCCCTCATCGTCCAGCACAATTATCGCCGATGGTGGGACTGGAAGGGAGGATGTAATTACGGTGACTCGTCCATCAATCCGCCCAATCGATAAACTTACCCAAAACTTTGAAGTCTATGCTGTAGGCTCCAAGATTATTGCACGACTCCAGCGGCTCCAAGAAAGTACTTTCGCAAACGTAAGTGTCCTCATCACTCACTTGGACGCCTTTTATGTGAAGACGTGTGGCGGGCCCATTTGGTGAGTGATCGATTGACATTCTGCAGAGGAAAATATTGGGTCATCTTCGCAGCATTCCAAGCAAATTACCCACACACAAGGCTTCTGCAGTGTTTTCATCAGTGACAGGCGAAAATACATGCCATAATTGCACTTATGAACACGAGAAAATCATGTGTGCAGAAAAGCTCTGAACTTTTAACCTTAACTTTGCAATTCGCTCATTAATTCGTAAATAATATTACGAATTAAAATTTTACAAATTCAGAGTTAACCATTTAGAGGGTATTTTGTGCCACTGTTTGCACTCATTAATAAATTTTCATTTAAAACAAGAACAAAAATATAATATTTCACGAAATATAATATTTCGCAAAAATATTATATTTCACGAAAAAAAATTACACTGCACAATCTACGTTAAATTAATTTCACTTTGTGTTTTGCAGAAATATTTTATTTTTGATTATTAATATGAATATTTCATATCCTGGGTGGGAAAAAATTCCCATGAAAACCGATAAAAGAGGCGAAAATTATAATGACTAATGCATAATTGATTGGTTGAAAATTTTATCATTCCACTGGTAAAAGTGGTGGCGATTCAATAATTTCACACATTATCCTCACACACACACACACACACAAACATACATTTTGGGTGGGTGAACAATTGATTTCCCACCCACTTTGCGTTGGAAAAAAAACAGCACACAGTTGGTGGGCATAAAAACACATTCGCACACAGAAATGTCATGGCAGAAAAGTATAGTATACAATTTTCAAGCGGCAAACAGTTTCGATAACGTGGCATTAAATATTAAATTACACATAATTCAAGTCAGTTAGATTTATTTATTCAAATACTTTTGTTCGTGTCTCTGACACCCCAATTTATTTCACCATTTCCCCGGCGATATATTTTCACCCCGTTCTCGCAGATATTTCGCCAACCCTGCGAGTTGATTTTGCGGCATGGGATTTATGCAAAAATTGATGAGGAGGTTTTTCATCTCATGCCTATCTGTGCCTAATGGCTGAACCAGGATGGGTAAACACCCAGGATATGCGGCATAAATACTTGGCAAAAGAATGTCGAAATACCGTAAATAAATACATACTTATACACATGTCAAATAAATGATTTTGTGACACACTATTTATTTTAACTGAATCACTCATTTTGCAAAGAAAAATGAAAAAAAATTTTTAAAACATGATAAAATATACAAGAGAGGCGAATTTTGGGAAGTTATTTAATAAACAAAAATAGAAAAAATCAGTATATTTATATGAAAACAATGCTAATCATGAATTGTCAATTTTATACAATAATTTATCATTAATTTTCCGTGATTATGGTGAAAATTTTAATGTCAAGATATAAAAACATAGTAGAATCATTAATTTTGAAAATTGCAGATAAAATTTTGCATGCGAAATTTCTATACAACACAAAATTAAATTACTTCTGATTGCCAACTATGGTTTTAGCAGCGAGAAGTGGAATTAAGCCCATGTTTTACTCGCGAGAAGCATCACAAAACTCATGGCGTTGGATTTGAAATGCAGAATGAGCGCATTAAACGCCGTCGTGGATTAAGGGCATACGTGGAAAAATAGAGTTTGGCTGCAGTTTAGGACACCAAGAGCCGGATGTGAAGTGTTTGCGGCATAGTTCGGGAGCTTTGCATAAAAGCCTCTGCAAGTGTTGTTATTTTAGAATTAAAATTCGCTCGTCATCTCATGCTGTCGTTCTCACATCACTCTTCTGTGACAATAACCAAGCGAAGCTATTCATCCCAACTTTGTCATTCGCCCAGGGACTCGTGTATTTAGCATAGAATGTATTTGAGAATTTGTACGCAGAGCAAAAGAGAGGGAGAGAAGTTATGATTGCATAAATAATATTCTGATGGAGTGTGTTTCTCGTGTGACGAAAATACAACATCGTGATACATGCTGCATGTAATTTATTGACAAGCAATTTTGTCAATAAATCACACACACACCAAATTCACTTCTCAATCAGAAATGTTGAACGTGTTATATGGTGCCCAATATTTGTTCATATTATAGTAACACAATTTGGATTCATCGCATTATTGTGTCAACATCGTAAAGTTCATTAGATTCGGTTATATATATTTTGCGCACGCCAAAGGAAGCCAGAGAGATTTCATCAGGTATACACATATAATGTAATAGAGGACATGCGATGAAGGCTGTGACGAGATTTTCGGGGATAAGAGGAAAAATGATCTTGTGTGTGGGCTTCGATGGAGGCGCAAAGACGCACCCAGAGAAAGAAGTCATTCAATTCCCTCAATATTCCATTTCCCACCGACACACGACTGGCATTCGCATGAAATACTTTCATCGAACAATGATGGAAAATACGTGACCCGAAGACTCAGAGGGATTTTGCCATCCGCACGAGGAAGACACTCAGGAGATCTCAATGAAATGCGAGAATTCCTGAGGAGGGAAATCCAGCTTCATTGTCCTCACGCACAGCTCAGAGAAAATCTATTATCAATGAGTTCTTTCGGAAGCATCTACTGGAATTTGTGGAATTCCTCACGAGAGATTTCTCAAATTGATTTCATTGACATTGTGCATTTTTTGTAAATATCTCTATTACACTCAGGAGAAAAACGTGTGTGTTCGCTGTCGAATTTTTCAACCTGCATTTCGAGTATTTGTGAGACAATTCAAGTGTAAATTGCGATAATACGACACCTGAGATGTGACTAAACTTCTAAGGAGAGAAGCTAATAAACAATTCTAGACTGATATTTCCTCCGCCACTTCATAAATAAATACATTATATGTTGAAAAGGCTTTCCCGCCATTAATCGTACATGTTATTTTATAAACATTTCTAGCATGTTTGATTTTATTTTCGAAACTCTGACTTTCTTTCAAAATTCCCTATGATTTATTAGCTGAAAAAGGAACAATTTCCCTGTCATATCGCAATTTCTCTTTTCTACCGTGAAATTTAATCCCACTTTAGTCGACAATGGCGAAAAAACCCTATCAGAATGCGTCTCATTGAGCGCACTTCTTCACCCGGGAAAAAGTTCTCGTGGGAGTTGATAATTTTTTCTCTCTCTCTCTCTCTCACCCATTCTGCAGAGAGCTTTTTTCTTGCCATGATACATAAGCATTCCTCATCCAGCCGCAATTTATATTTCTCGCAGAAGCGGCGAGGATGAAATTTGACTTTCCACTTGAATGAAATTTCTATTTATGCCGCCAACAAGAATTTTCACCCATCGAGAATTCATTTCATCGTCCGTGGAAAATATTCATTCCATTAGTAAATATTTTTACTTTCACTCGAGAAAGAGAACTTTTTTCTTCTCTCTCAGAAGCGCGCGCGGAGAAATTGAAATTTCTGCCACCCTCTCAACTCTTGAGCCACATAGATAAAATTGAAAAATTTATATGCTCCTTCACCGTCGTGTGGGTGGCTCTTCGCGGGGAAGTGGTGAGAAAGTATTATTTCGATATAACAGGCAATGAGTTGGACAAGGCTATAATTATAATTATATTGGGACTGACATTTGCCTGTGAATGACAGGAAATTAATTAACAATCGATCACTTTTTTCACTCACTTCGCGCCGGGGAAATTAAGGGAAGAGGACACCAACTCACCTAGGCTTAAACTCTCCCTGAATGTTGACCACTTCTCCATCGCCCGAAACCACGGCAATTCGATCGCTGCTCTTGAACCACTTGACCGAGTGCAGCTCACCGCAGGAACTGACGTCCACAGGGCACGTGAGGACCACAGAATGCCCTCGCAGGGATGAGATGGTCTCATCTGAAAGTTGAGAAGGAGTTTTGCATCACTTTCTACCACACACATGGCAAGAGACCTCAGGAAATCAATGATCTTACACTCAAATATTGGTACTCAAGTTTAAGTGCCAAGGCGAAGTTCAGTGGCTAGAGGTGGTGTACAGCTCAGAAGAAGTCTCTCTACTGCTTTGAATGTCTATGATTGGGGTAGGTTCTTGTTTCTGTCATGTTTTTCTAGGTTATGTGAATTATTATCAAATTTATTCTTACGATCTCTTAATGTAAAGCTTGATATTATTTTAGGTTATGCTGAAAGAAAGTACTGACAAAATGATCAAATTTACTAATCACTTATTTTTTTATTATCTTATTATGCTTTTAGTTTTCTAACCTTAAAATTTGCTATAATTCTGATATTTGAGTCTTTACATAAACATGAAACTTTATGCAGATTATCATATGCATAATGTTTGTAATTAAAGAGGGAAGTGACGATTTCAGACATTGATGAAGTGTCAGGAAGTGGTGTACGTATTTAAGCCATATTTTTCGCCTCGAAAAAGTCCACATAAAACCATACACTTATGTACTGTATATGTATGAATGAATAAACTACAGCTGGAAGTGAAAAATTTCGCTTTTCTCAGACCGTCTCACGTGCGCCAATCAATGAGAAAATCTTCAAGTTTGGGAAAATATATCAGTGTACAACTTTGTCGAGATCCTCTCATGTGATTGTGTGGAAAGTCAATAAAGAGTGAAAAGTTGAAATTGCCAAAAATCGAGTGTGTTTCTAAGAAACTTTCACTCAGCGAACAATTCCAAAAAATATACACACATTTGTATTCATTATGGGAAAATTACAAGTTCAAGGAGACTCTCAGATATCGGGTGATTTTTGCAGATGCGATTTTTGGTGGGCTTTGCACGAGGCCGTGATCCAATAATTATTGACTTTCTGTCGTCGTCGTAAAACATGTGGGCTGAACTTTTTCCACTCCACTTGGAACATGGCCAGAATTCTCATCTCAAGACAGTCTCTGTTATGTGAGTTTTATGGATATATTCGTTGGTGGAAGGGAAATTTACAGACACTGCAAAGGAGGAATCACATCTCATGATCAATTCCACATTATGAAACAAACATATGATATCAAACACCCAATAATGCTCCGCCAGAGGAAAAATCTTCCATTTATTGCTAGAGCCACACAGAAATAGTTTTCCTGCGATTGTGCACTGAGATTCACAAATATAGCGATTCACCGTGAAGCGCATAAAATTTGTTGTCATTTCGTGTCTTCAAAAATTTCAATGAAATACACGAAATTGTTAAGCGCTTGGGGAGAATTTGATGATTTTCTTATTTCTCTTGTGTTTTGAGGAAGTACAGAATATCTTTTTTTATATCTCGATATATTTGATCTTAATTCGGTGTCTGAATTTATGGAATTCTTTGAAATCTGACTGATTTTGAAGTCGCTTCGGATTAAAAACTGATAATCACGGGAGATTTTTGTGCATCTCACATGGTTGGGTGTAGAATCAACTTCCAGATGAACTTAAAAGCTTAACACATTTTTAAAATAGTGATCCTCATTGAAGCATATGGTGTAAACAAAGCGAAAAATCATCTGCAAGGTTAATAATTTTGAGCACAATCATGCTATAAATATTGTGGGGCGGAAATAATAAATCCCATCTCCGGGATAATAAAATTATTGCGCACTTGCGATCTCACAATTCAGTTCCTGCGGAACCCTTTTCCCAAGGGAGCCCTTTCACCACCCTCTCAAACGCCCCTGAAATTCTAATGAGTCGAGCAGTGGCGCCTCTTTGAAATTCTGCACATTTGTGGGATGTGTTGTCACTCGAATATTACAACTGGGTGGGCAAGAAAGTTGGAGAAATGTGCGGTGAAAGAAGGTCTCCTCTGGCACAATTCGCGTCAGTGAATTTTGTATAAATAGCAAAATCATTTTATAAATATCTCCACACACACACACACAAGAGGCCCTCATGGCTAAGTGGAAAATGTCGCGGGACTTGGGGAGTGTATTGGAGGCAAATAGCCGTGTTGGATGCTATTTTTACCCACAACCATCGCGCTCTCCTCCCGCACTTTTTCCGCCGGAGATGAGACACACACTGTGTCTGGTGTGTGGCGGCCAAATGAGTTTTCCAAAGGCAATTTTCCCCGCAAAACCGCACAGAAGATGCCTCTGGGAGTGTTTCGGAGGCGCCCTGGCTGGCGGGACAATTTGGGTTAAACGCTCTCCTCTCCAGACCCTGACGAAGAGACCTTGGCGCAAGAATGACTATCAATTTCACCAAGATTGCCGTCGAGGGGTCAATTTTGTTCACCACACGAAAATTATTCCCTGGAATTTGACTTTAAAATTCTCAACTGAACATATTACAACTAGAACTTTTCAATATTCCCTCTTCCGAGTAAAATATATATTGTAATCGCTATAAATTGCTTAGGTGAAATCCCCATTGAAGCGACATTGAGTGCAGGCAAGGAAGTTGTGTGGAAATCCCACGTCTATGACGAATTAAAGTGTCGTTTAGACGTGGAAAGAGAGAAAAACGTAAAAATGCTTTTTAATCTACCAATTTGCGTTGACAAAACTTTTCGATTTAGCGTTCAATGGGGGAAAGGAACTTCAATCCGCCCTTTGACCCTTTTTTCCCACCGCGTCCCAAGAGAAATCCTTTCTCCTCTCATTGAAAGTTGTACAGGAAATCGATATGGGAGGCGAAATAGGAAAAGTTCTATAGAGTTTAGCTGTGGGTGGGATTTTTCCAGCCACCTCGCACTATAGAAGCGCAACTTCCTTCGAAAGATTTACATTTTGATTAAATATAACGCCATGTCGTGGAAGCGCGCGCGATGAAAAGCAATGAAAAGTGCCGCTGCTGGAGAAGCATCATTCTAATTAGATTTACAATTGTCTGTGGAGGGAGGAAAAAGGGGTGAAATACCGATTGTAAGATGGGTATTGGAGTGTTTATTCTTGAGAAGTAGGTGCATTTGGTGGAATTGTATCTCATATAATTAAGTTAATATCAATTCTTCTGTAGGATTTCTTTACCCTTTTCTCCACTCGGCACAAATCCAATAAATTCTCACAGCACCGCTCGACGGCCATTCTTCCCAATTCCACCTGAGTATTAATTCAATTAAATTGCAACAAATACACGAGACTCTTTGCTCATTCTCTATTCACCTGCTATTTCTTACACACCCGTTCGCACACTCATTTCTTCGCCCTCTTCTTGCACTAAAAATTCCACCATTAATGTTTCAAGCTTGCTTTCATGTAGAGAGAGAAAGACTGGCAGAATTGGAGGGAATTCTTGTGTGGGTCGTTGTCATGATTTTTTGCCACATATGAGTGTTGGTGTGTCTTTCAGGGGCCCTTTTTCTTCTGTGCGGGCTCTTTTGCAAAACACAGTCTCTGAATTGGTTGTGTTGAATTGTGTAATAAAAAAAACAACACTCACACACATTTGGAGATTGAGGAACAATTTATATATTATTCATTTCCACATTTCAGCCATGCGTGAAGTTCCCACGTCTAATTTAATGCATTAGGTTGGTGGAAAAATTACCACAATGGGAGAGAGAAGAGGTGAAGTATCGTCTGGGAGCCCTCGCAGCGGAAAAAATTCCCCGAGACAATTGGTACAAGCGAAGACGGAAGAGGCAAAACGATGATCTCGTGGCAACGGGCAAAGTCTCTCGGGAACCACCTGTTCCAATGCTGTGCTATTGACACTCCAAGTGCCGCGAAAAATCAATTCCCTCACTCATTTTCTCCTCCACTCTTTCCAATCACTTTAAAGTGCAATAACGCCACGAAAATGCATTGACAGTGAGGGGCATAAGTTTGAAGCAATCCGTAAATTGTGTCACATAAAAATTCAACATGCAAGTCTTCGAGGAACTCGCGCAGAGTGGCTTCGAGGCTCAATGGTCTATACTTCGTGCATTTTTAATGCTCAGCACTCTCTAGACTCACATACTTGCTGCTATGTCGGGATTTTTATGGAACAGACGAAACTTCCAATAAAGGATAACTCTTGGCATTAAAATTGAATGATAAGAGCACAAGGGGTTCAGTTCTCCAGATGGGATCAGGAAATTAGCATAAATATTTCGAAAGGATCGACATTAATGGAAGGTGTACATCAATGTCAGTCAAAGTTCTAGGATTTCTCTAATGCCACGATGCTCTAGATAGACAAGAATATAGTTTCCTGTGTGACTTATTTGTCTGTGATTTAGAAGAAATTGCTGAGCTGATTCATATTTTATTTAACACCAAACGACAGCACACAGTGCACTTTTCTTTTGGCCAAAGACACTTTTCAATATAAACTAATTTACAAATTAAAACGTCTTGTACGTCTTCTTACTCTATAATAGCGCTGTGACGGTAGATTTCAATGATCCTATTTTTCACAGACTCTATCACACTAACAAAAGTGACTTTGCACAAATTTACGACATGAAATTGGTATAAGTTTGAGACTTCCATGCTAAAACTGATGAAGTTACTGCATGTATAAGAAAATCTTTTCTATCCGAGCATGGTTTCAGAGCTCAAGATAAGACGTTACAACTCAGCATGACAATTAGCCACTTATGGATGTAAGTTGGCTGGAACAATTCAAATTATTAATACTTTGTATCACTTTTTACTCTGAAGACACCATAAACCAAGCTGAGAGCAAGTAAGTTGCGCTTTAATCTGAAGAAAAAGGTAAGGATTATTCATGACGAATAACTTTCCTTCTTTTTGACATCGTGTTTCTCAAATTGTGCATCACTTATGTGGCCAACGCTCTCCCTTTATAAATTCTCTTTCAAATTAATATGTTCTCCCACGGTGTCGCCCTGCCAAAAGCCAAATCTACACACATAAACATATGTACGTACATTTCTCTTCTTTGTCAACAAGCCACTGAATTGAATAATCAAATCCATGAAGAAGATTGCTGTGCAGGTGACAA